TTGTGCCCAACGAGACAATCCCAGAACCTCTTCTCCCAACCGAACCACCCAACGGGACAACCCCAGAACATCTTCTCCCAACCGAACCACCCAACGGGACAACCCCAGAACATCTTGTGCCCAACGAGACAATCCCAGAACCTCTTCTCCCAACCTAACCACTCAAAGAGAAAAGCCCAGAACACCTTGTGCCCAACGGGACAATACTAGAACCTCTTCTCCCAATCGAGCCACCCAACGAGAAAACCCCAGAACACCTTGTGCCCGACGGGACAATCCCAGAACCTCTTCTCCCAACCGATCCACCCAAAGGGACAACCCCAGAACTTCTTGTACCCAACAGAACACCCTCAGAACCTCTTCTACCCAACGAGAGAATCCTAAAACCTCTTGTGCCCAGCGGGATAATTTCAAAACATCTCGTACCCAATGGGACAACCTGCAGTGCTCTTCCACACCACAGAACAACCCGCACTCTTCTTCCTTGCAGTGGAACAACCTTGGAACCTCCTCCCCTCAATGCTGTACCCAACAGAACAATCCTGGACCATCATCTCCCCATCGCTCCACTCAACAGAACAACCCCAGGAATCCATCTCCCCACCGTACTAACAAAGACATTCCCTGGGCTTCCTTTCCCCTCCGGCCAACTCAGAGTGACAGCCCCCGAACCTCTTCTCCATCTCGCACTAAGCAAAGCGAGGTTCCTTGGGCATCCATTGCTCTCCGGCCGACCCAAGGTGACAAGCCTCAGACCTCATCTCCTGCTAGACCAGCCCAGCATGACCCACCCCAGTCTTCCTCTGGCACCCCACAGCACAGCTCACCATCCCGGGCCACCTCTTCCTCCCATAATGCAGGCTACCACAGTGCCTCCCGGACTTCTCCTCCTCTGTACCCATTTAGCCGTGGTGCATCCCAGACCTCTTTTGACCCTGCCCAGCCTCCATGTGCTGTGTGCATTGGGCACCGGGATGCCCCTCGAGCCTCTTCACCACCTCGCTATTTGCAACATGATCCCTTCCCCTTCTTCCCAGAACCCCACTCATCTGAGAGTGATTCTGTCCACCATGAGCCCCCCTATATACCACCTGCTGTATGCATTGGGCACCGGGATGCCCCCCGGGCTTCCTCACCTCCCCGCCATGCCCAGTTCAACCCTTTCCCCTTCCTCCCAGACACATCAGATGCTGAGAGTCAGTCCCTCCAGCATGATCCTCCACAGTTCCCCCCACTTGTGTGTATTGGGTATCGTGATGCCCCTCGGGCCTCCTCCCCACCACGCCAGGCCCCAGAGCCCTCCTCCCTCTTGTTCCAGGATCTTCCCAGGGCCAGCACTGAAAGCTTAGTCCCCTCCACCGACTCTCTGCATGAGCCCCCCCACATTCCCACCCCTGTGTGCATTGGGCACCGGGATGCACCCTACTTCTCATCACCACCACGCCAGGCCCCCGAGCCCTCCCTCTTTTTCCAGGACCCCCCAGGGACCAGTATGGAGAGTCTGGCCCCTTCTACTGACTCTCTGCATGGCTCCCCCATGCTGCCTCCTCAAGTGTGCATCGGGCACCGGGATGCACCTCGAGCCTCCTCCCCACCCCGCCACCCACCCAGTGACCTGGCACTCCTGGCACTCTCACCTCCACCAGGCAGCTCAGGTGGCTCCCGGGGCTCATTGCCCCCCGGGGAGACCAGGCACAACCTGGAGAGGGAGGAGTACACCATGCTGGCCGACCTGCCCCCACCTAGGAGGCTGGTGCAGAGGGAGCCAGGGCAGGGCAGCAACGGGGGCCGCACCCGCAGCCCTGGCCGAGCAGAGGTGGAGCGCCTCTTCGGGCAAGAGCGCAGGTGAGCCCAGAGTGGGGTCGGCCAGGTGAGCTGGGGAGGAGGTGTCCTGGCCATTAGCAGGGCAGGTGGAAAATTCAGAGGCTTATGTTGGCTTAGGTTAGCTGTGTGACCTTGGACAAGTCACTTCATTCCTGCAGTTTCTGCATATTAGCTTTTTTTTTTTTTTTTTTTGTAGGAGTAAGTGAATAGCCTAGTGGTTAAGAGTGAAGACCAGGGTCAGGCAGCCTGGGTTCAAATCTTAAGTCAAAGCCACTCACGAACTTGTGTGACTGGGTAAAGTGATTTTACATATTTGAGCCTCAGTTTCCTTATCTGTAAAATGGGGAGAGCATAAGTACATTACTTTACATGAGGTTAAACTCTAAAACCCTTTGTGTGATCCAGTACCATAGGTGTGTTTTGTTCTGACCCCTCGCAGGTAGGAGAAGAAGTGAAAGCTCCTGTTCTCTCCTGCTTTCACGAAGAAAACTCTTGGGTCCCAGTGCCTTTTCAGAAAACAGCTGTAGAACTTACTGCCAGGGCCACATATTTCAAATAAGGGAACACAGAATTGCAGGCTTTTTAGAAGTTAAACACTCCTCTCCTTTGACATGGTGACAACATCTGAAGCCAGGGGTCTGGCAAGTCTCCATGGTTGTTGTACCACTCGCGAGGGTGGGTCATGACCCCGCCCCATGTTTGCTTCTCTGCAGCCCCGCAGGAAGGGGAAAGGAATTCTCCTGTTCTGCCTGAGATTTCTCTCCCAGCATTTCCAGCTCCAGGGCTTTCAAGGATCAGGGCTGGGCCAGAAGGGAAGAAAAGTAGGCCTGAAAGTCTCAAATTGCTAAGTGTATGCTTCAGTGAACTGAAGTGTACTGTATTCACCAAGTGAAACAATCATCATCACAGTCTAAATTTAGAACAGTCCCAGCACCCTAAAGGGGTAGGTAGTAGTTTGCATCTAGAATCCCCCTCTTTGTTGGCCCCATAGGCAACTTTCTCTTAGATATGAATTTGCAGAAGAAACTTTCTCTCTTGTTCTACAAACCTCCTTTTCCACTAAGCTTGATCCACTTACTATCCAGGTCACAACCTCTGTGGTCCCCAGTGTAATTCTTTCTTTGACTGTTTTGTGGTTACTAGTTTTGGTCTGATGTCAGCTTGCATGCCTTTGACTTGATCTGATAACTCAGTAGGGACATGAAAGTCTTTAAACCAAAGCTAATTTTTTTCTCTTACTGGGAGGACTTTCAGAGAAAAGAGGTTATATTAGAGTTTGTATTAATCACATAGTTATTTTTACACAATTATTCCCATACATTTTATTTTACATGTTTTGAAGTGGATGACTTACCTTTTAACGAAGGTTTTGTAACTCTATTGAGTAATTTAAAATTCTCCCCTTTTCTAAGTAGAAGGAGCTCTGGTGGCATAGTGCCTTAGTCACTTGACTGCTAACCAGAAGCCTGGTGGTTCAAACCCACCAGCCACTCCTCGGAAGGAAGATTGGGCAATTTACTTCCGTTGAGATACCACCTTGGAAACCCAAGGACGGGTCACTGTGAGTCAGATCCGACTCAATGGCAGTGAGTTTGGTTTGGTTTTTGTTTTTTCTAAGTAGAAAGCCATTGGTCTCCTGAAGAAGACTTTTAAACCCACTTGAGCATCTGTGGAGCCCCTTGGTGGTGTAGATGGTTAACTTGCTTGGGTGCTTGAGGGGCTGGAGTTTGAGTCTACTCAGAGGTACCTTGGAAGAAAAGCCTGGCAATCTACTTCTAAAAAATCAGCCACTAAACATCGTATGGAGCAGAGTTCCACTCTGACACACGTGGGTTCACCATGAGTCAGAGTCAACTCGATGGCCACTGGTTGGGTTTACAGATCCATGTGACAGACTGGAATTTACAGCTGGGTGGCTCCAGAGACATTTTTATTTCTCTCATTTATTTTTTCAACACATATTTATTGAGCATCTACTCTGTCAGCACTGTTCTAGCTGAATCTGTATAGTTTTTCTTAAAGGGCGATCACATTAAAACGTTAGGAGTTGTAGCTTGATACCTTATTATTATTTTTTTTTACCCCCCAGATGCCTTTGCGATCTCTTACCTTTGAATCATATGAGCATCCTGTAGTCTCTAAAATTCAAAAGAGAGTTCTTGGGGGTACAAATGGTTACTGCTTAGCTGTTAATCAAAAAGCTGGCAATTCAAGTTCACCCAAAGGTGTCTGGAAAGAAAGGCCTGGTGAACTGCTTCCAGAAAAGCCAGCCGTTGGAACCCTCTGGAGCACAGTTCTAGTCTGAGACACATGGCAGTGCCAGGGGTTGAGTTGGCTCAAGGGCAATTAATTGGTCCCGGCACTAAATTCCAAAGAGGAGCTGGCTCTACAGTTCATGGCGTTTGCTAGACTTGATGACTCCTGCTGCCTAATGTTCTCTGAGGTCTGAGAGCCCACTTGTGCTTCCAAAGGAAACACCTTTCCTGTGCCCTCCTCGGTGCGACCATGCTAACCCTCAGGAGCAGGTGGTGCAGGCAATGCTGCCCCGGCAGCATCCAAAAACCTGGGTTTCCCTTGGGGACCAGAATCTCCTGACTCCTTCATGCTTCTATCTCAGGTCCCCGGGGGAGCAAACCTCACAGAGGGACGATTAAATGATCTCGCGAGGTGGAGTTTCTATGGAAGATGCACCTGCTTGAATGAGCACACACCTGCCTACCCACCTGCACCAGCTTTCCTCCAACCCCCGCCCCTTCGGGAGGAGCTTCCAGCTAGTCCTGTGTGGGGCTTTGCTTCCTGGCGATTCCTACACTCCAGTTCTAGGGAAAACTCACTTCAGAGCCCTCAGCCCTCACTGAGCAAAGAACATTGCTCAGCCCAAAGCAGATTAAAACTTGAACCTGATCAGGCTGTCCTCAAACTAGAAACACTTACTGCAGGGACTCTGGCTTCTCTCTGAGCCTCCTGCTAAGAACTGCCAAAAACTCCAGCTACTTTCTGGTTCCAGTCCGAATGGAAAAAGCCATAAGACATCAACAACAGCCAGCTCTAAGCCCGTCATTTTTCACCCTCCAAAGGCTCTGTAAGGCTCCAGCATTGCTCTGTGGGGGGAGGCCTCACGGAGACCCAAGTAGAGGGTCCTTTTCTGTCCCTTGTTTGCTGGCTCGTGTTTGGGCTCAGCACCAGCAACAAAACAAAACAAAACCCACAGCCATTGGGTCAATTCCAATTCATAGAAACTCCTACGTCTCCAAGGTGGTAAATCTTTATGGAAGAAGATTGCCTCGTCTTCCTTCCATAGAGTGGCTGGTGGGTTTGAACCACCAACCTTCTGGGTAGCAGTCACATGTCAGGCACTGTGCCACCAGAGCTCCCTGGGCTCAGCACACCGTGGCCTTTTTCAACCTTCTCCTCCGGGTTCAATAAGCCACTGAGGCACAATCCCCTTTGACACTGAGATGAAACCAGACTCCGAAACTCCACTGAACTCGGTGTCCGCCGAGTGCCTGGGTCTTCCGATTTACTCCCTTGCATGTAGGATGGAAGAGATATGGCCAGATCCTCTTTGGCCAAGGGCTCCCACTTTCCAGCAAACAGAGATGTCACTTTAAATATTAATTACCATGGCTACCGATTATTAAGCAAGACAACTAACTTGAACCAGAGACTTCTGACAGGTTAGATGTGGCAACAATGTCTGAAGCCCGGGTGACTTAGAAGTGGCATTTGCATGAGCAGTTCATATGTTGGCTTTTTTGAGGTTGTGAGGGAAGAGAGAATGTTTTTCCTTTTGATCTTGCTAAGAGTGCTTTTACCAACAGGAAGGCTGGAGTTTTCAAGGCTAGGTGTTGGAATTCCATAGTTAGCACTGAGGTGGGGAGAGGGGAAAAGGCTCTAAGTCCAGAACTTTTTATACTGTGAGGAGAAGGGCAGAAAGAATGGAATGTAGAGCACTTGATACCAGGATTCTGCATCTCCTGTACCCACCTCACAGGCCACGAGAGGATGAAATGAGATAGTATGTATGAAGGGCTTGGCATCTGGGATATAGGATTATCAATAAATGTCACTGTTTGATTATGTACGCACAGTGCCTGGCACACAGTAGGTGCTCAATAAATCTTCATTCCCACAAGGACCAGTCTAACTTTCGTCTGGGAGTGGGTGCTGGGCAGCTGGTGGGGTGGGGTCAGTAGCAGGAAGTGTTGAGTGGACTGGAGGTAGCCATGGCCAAGGCCTGACACCCCCCACCCACCGCCTTTGCTCATCCCTTTTCTCCTTTCATTGTGAGGCAGGTAGAGTAGTGTTAAGCACCCCCAATTTTCAGAAGGGGAAACTGAGGCCCTGAGAGGGTCATCTCTCACGTAGGACCCTTCCTCAGCACGGTGGGCACTTGGATCTCCCACGTCTCCTCCTGTCAGGGGTGGGAGCAGAGAAGCCGGGGTGCCACGAGGTGGGAGCAGTCCCAAGGGCCCTTAGAGGGGCGCTGCATTTGCTCATAGGAAGTCCGAGGCACCGGGAGCCTTCCAGGCCCGGGACGCGGGGCAGTCACAGCGGCCCGGCCAAGGTCAGAGCCAGCTTCTCCGAAGACAGTCCAGCCCTACCTTCAGCAGGGAGGTGAGCACTGCCCCAGGGGGTGGGCCACAGCATCTCCCCTCCCCCAGGGGCCAGCAGGGTCTTGGGAAGGGAGGTCCTTTATGACTTAGTCCCTAAACCCTGATCTTGGGTGTCCAGCTCTGGGCAAAATTGCAGGGACCCAAATTACCCTTTGAAGACAGCCACGACAGCCACTCTGTGCTGGTCCTTCTTCCAGTCGGCCCTTGCCAGCCTGAGGGGTTTTCAGGAAAAGCCTTATCACTCCAAGGTTGTCTTGGGGGAGTTTTTCTTTTATTTTATTTTTATTGTGATTGTGATTTGGATGAAAGTTTACAGAGTAAATTCATTGTCCACACAGCAGTTCATCCATATTTTGTCTCATGCATGACACTGACTGCCATTCCCCACTGTGTAACAGCTCTCTTCCTACTTCCTCCCTGTAGTTATGTCTTCCCTGTGTCCTTCCCTCCCATGCATTCCCCTCCCCCCTAACTGTCTCCCTGTGCAAACACTGCCCTTCTCTTCTCCCATGATTGATCACTCCAACGACTGTCTCTACCTGATGTGAATGTTCAGCCCCTATGTCTGTCTGTTTGGCTGGAAGACACAGAAGTGGGTTCAGTTCCAGACCTGAAGGGTAACTAGGGGCTGTAGTCTCAGGGGTCTCACCAAGCTCTGTCAGAGCAGCAAACCTGTCTCTTTTTTATGATTTTAGTTTTGTTCCACATTGTTCTCCTGGGGGGGGGGGCAGATTTTTTTAGATAAAGCATCTCTTGGAGGATGAGGCCCAGCCCAGGGGGTTTTTGTGGTAGAAATTCAGGCACCTGATAGCCCAGGTTGGTGGGGGGAGCCCTGAAAGTGAGCAGCTCTTCACAGATCTATTTCAGGGACCGAGGACAGAGGGTGAGAGGGAAGAGGGGCCCCTTAGATGGGATCCCAGGGGCTCTTGTGTGCTTTTCTACCTGCTTAACTGGGGCTGCAGTGAGGATGAAGCCTAGCCTCTCGCAGGGCCCAGCTGAGACCCCAGGGTCCCCACCTTCCCAGACAGAGGCCACCCAGCCCTGGGCCTGGAGCCTCACCCACCCCCTCGCCTCATCCTCAGGTGACCAGGTCTCCCCCGAAGCAGGCAGAACCGGCCCGGCGGAGCCGAGCAGAGGCCCCTCACGCCAGAAGCCCCGAGAGGCGCCCTGAGGGGGACCGACGGTTCCAGGGGTCCTCACAGCCCCCCAGGACATCAGCCAGGACCTTGGAGATGGATCAGCGGAGACAGAGACCTCTGGAGAGTGGCCAAGCGGGTCCAAGGCAGCCACTGGGGGGATGGCAGAGTCAGGAGGAACTTCCAGGGTCCCGAGGCCCTCACAGACACCTGGAGAGGGACTGGTGCAGCCAGGAGGCAGCCCTGGGCCCTGGCAGCTGGCAAGGACTTGGGGAGCCCAGTCAGGGAGCCTCCAGAGCCCCTGAGGGCATAGGGAGGGGTCCTCCCAGGGAGTCCAAGGAGAGCTGGGTGCAATGTCCAGAAGCCTGGGAGAAGCACCCTAGTAACGGGCTGCAAGAACAGCCTGACAGGTCAGCCCAGAGGGGCTGGGGCAGCCTACAGGAGCTGGCCAGTCCCTGCCCACCAACGAGCCCCTCAAAGGACTCCTGGGTGGGCCCCGCAGAGTTCTCACAATCCCGGGGGCTTGCGACATCGGATGCCACAGGCTGGGGGGCAGTGGGAGTATGCCCACAGCTGTGTGACCCTGACAGGCAGCCTGAGCTCAGCTGGAGGGACCTGGTGAGCCTTCTCCAGGCTCAGGGCCAGGGGGCCTGGGCGGGCGCTGGGGAGCCACTGCTGACAGCCCGCCTGCCGAGGCTGGACTGGGAGGGCCTCCTGGAGCTTCTGCAGGCCTGGCTGCCCCACAGGGACCCGTCTGGACACTGGGGTGGCCCAGCCAAGTCTTCAGGGCCAGAACTGGGTCCCCCAGGCACAAAAGGTGCCCTGGAGCTAGAGCAACAGAGCCAGCCAGAAGCCTGGGTGGAGGCTCCCCTAGTCAATGGACACAGTCCCGAGAGCCCGGCCCAGGCGCCCAGCCCTGCCTGCACCTCCACCCAGTGGCCAAAGACCAAAGTGACGAGTGGACCACAGAGCTCGACCATGGCTGGTGTGGAGGAGCCGGGCCACTTGGGTAGCAGGAGCCCCACAGAGGGCCCCAGCTTGCCTGAGCAGGAGGTAAGTCAGCCCCTCTGAGGAGCAGCCAGAAAACGTGCCCCAAGCCAGATGTTGTTGTTGTTGTTGTTGTTGTTAACTGCCGTCGAGTCGTTTCCGACTCATAGTGACCCCATGCACAGCAGAACGAAACACTGCCTGATCCCGTGCCAGCCCCACAATCCCTGCTATACTTGAGCCCATAATTGCAGCCACCGTGTCAATCCATCTCATTGAAGGCCTCCCCCTCTTTCGTCGACCCTCCACCCTACCAAGCATGACATTCTTCTCCAGGGAATGGTCCCTTCTTACAACATGACCAAAATAGGTGAGACGAAGTCTGGCCATTCTCGCTTCCAAGGAGCATTCTGGCTGCACTTCCTCCAGGACAGATCTGTTAGTTCTTTTAGCAGTCCACGGTACTTTCAGCATTCTTCACCAGGACCACAACTCAAAAGCATCAGCTCTTCTTTGGTCTTCCTTATTCATTGTCCAGCTCTCACATGCATATGAGGTGATTGGAAATATCATGGCTTGTGTCAGGCACACCTTAGTCCTCAATGAGATATCCTTGTTCCTCAGCACTTGATACAGTTCCTTCACAGTTGACTTTCCCAATGCTACACGTCAAATGCTACTCATCAACCCAGATGAGTCTCCTGGAAAAGTCCTCCCTGTGGGTGACCCCTGCGCCCTGCACACCGGCCAAGGCCAGACTTGAGGCTCCCTCCTTCCCAAAGTCCTGCCTGACCACCAAGTGCACGCCAATGACAGCCACCACCACACTTCTGAGCATTTCCTATATGCCAAGCCCTGGTCTGAGCGCTTTATGTGTATTTTCCCCATTTAATCTTCAGAGCAAGAGGCCTTGGTGGCGCAACAGTTAAGTGCTTCGCTGCTAACTGAAAGGTTAGTGGTTCAAACCTACTTAGCAGCTCCGTGGGTTTACGTGGCAGTCTGCTCCCATAAGATCACCCAAACCAAACTGACTGCCATCAAGCTGATTCTAACTCATAGCAACTCCCACTGGGTTTCTAAGGCTGTAAATCTTTATGGAAGCAGACTGCCTCATCTTTCTTCCACGGAGTGGCTCATGGGTTCGAACCACTGACCTTTCAGTTAGCAGCCAAATACCTTAACCACTACACCACCAGAGCTCCTTCTAGAAAAGACTGTAGCCCAGAAAACTCTACGGGGCAGTTCTACCATGTCACATGGGGTGGCTGTGAGTTGGAATCAACTTGACAGCACCTAACAACAACACAATCTCCAAAGCAACCTGATGAGACAAGCATTGTTTATTTACAGATAAACTGAGACACAGAGAGGTTAAGCCACCTGCTTGAAGTCACTCAGCTAGTCAGAGCCGGAGCAGGGGAGGAAGCCAGGCCTGCTCAGATCAGATGATCATCCTGGGGCCACAGGCCCTGTGTTGCGGGCAGGGCCTTCTCCCTGCTGGGCCCCCTAGTGCCTGGCTTATGCAGTCTCTGGTGGCTGGTAGTGGACCCTGCCTGGGACTGCAGCTAATGTGGTGGATTTAAAATTCCTCGAGGGCCAAGAGAGCCTGGCTTCTGCCTCCCGTCCCCTGCAACTCCTTGCTGCCACAGAGAAGAGGCCGCATAGACCTCCCCAGGCTGCGTGGGCCACTGAGGCAGGCTGTGCCAATGAGGCCACAGGGCAGAGCTGGCCGGTGCCTGGTACAGAGAGGGTGCTTACCAAGCCCCTGCCTCATTAGCACAGTCGGGGGGGGGCGCTCTGCCCAGTAGGTCAGGTCCCCAAGTCTGGTATTTGAGCGCTGCCTCAAAGCTTGGAGCAAGCTCCCTGAAGGAGGTGGGATGGGGAAGAGGTTGGAAGCCAAAGCCCTGAGACCTGGGCCCAGCCCCACAGGGACATAGCATGTGATGGTGGACACTCTGCCTTTCCTGGCCTCAGTCTCCCTCTGTAAAACAGTACCATCTGTTTCCCTCACAGGCCCCAGTGGGGTGATACAGAAGCTTCTCTTTGTTCACCCCCCTCGTCTCCTCAATGGCCAGTCTAATGCCAGCTGCTCCCCAGATAACGAGAACTTCCCCACATCAGGGTGTACTGTGTGCAGGACTGGGCCTTTGTCATGTGCACCCCACATAGAATGGGGCAGCTGCTATTATCCCCATTTTACAGACAAAACGGGAGCTCAGGCTCACTAGGCACCCATTAGACATGAGATCACAATGCCAACTCCAAAGACCCTGCTTCTAACCCCCATATTCTGAAGGCTTGGAGCCCATGGCAGGATCGGGGAATGACCCCAACATTACCCACTGTCACTAAGTCAATTCGAAGAGGAAAACTGCCCCCCAAAGTTTCCAAGGCTATAATCTTCATGGAAGCAGACTGCTGCATCTTTTTCCCATGAAGTGGCTGGCTGGTGGGCTCGAACCACCGACACCTTTCAGTTAGCAGCTGAGTGTGTACCCACTGCTCCACCGGGGCTCCTCTACTCAACACTGCCCTGTGGCTTTTATCACCTTAGGCTGTAATTAGTTCAGGGCACAAGAGACGCAGGGATGTCAGTGCAGGCCTGCTCTCCAGACGCAGACAGGCTTGTTAGGGAGGCAGGTGGGCCGCAGACAGCTCAGAGGGGACACAAGGCTGTGTCCCATCAACACTGGAAAGCCACCGGCTGGCCTCGGGAGGAGGAGGGGCTGGAGAGACTTCAGCTGGAGTCACTCCATGGTTAGGAGCTGGTGACTGGGGAAGGGTGGGGACACCAGGTGCATAAGGGCATTTCACAGATGACAAAACAGAGGCCAAAGCCAAGCATAAGGCAAGCCTCAGCTGGTCCACCAGGTCCTGCTCCAGCTGCTCACTCTCTCGGAACATCCTTGGCACGTTATTCAAGGCCTCCTATCACAGCATTCAAGGCCTCCTATCACCCTTTCGGCCCAAATTTGCCCTTTAGTTCTGAGCTGGCTGCAGGGCTGTGCACATGCCTTCCTGACTCTCCACATGCTTCTCATTGCCTAGCATGCTCTTCCCTCCCTCTTCACCCACCTAACACATTAGATCAGGTGCCCTGTCTGGAAAGACTTCCTTAAATATGCACCCCATTCCGAGGCTGGTGGTGTTGCCCTTCTGGGCTTGGCAATTTTGCTTCCTTCCATCTGGTCACCCTGGGTTGTCATTTTCTCATAAGAAATATGAACTCCACGAGGTCTAGGGGCTGTGCCTACTTTGTGAGTACTTTGGTCCAGGGCCTGGCACAGAGGAGGGGCACAGCTCCATGGATATTGGCCAGTAAATATGTGGATGCTTGGGTGTATGCAAGAAGCAGATGAAGGGTGGGTCAGTGGGCTGGTGAAGGTGTGTGTATGGGTGATGGATGATGGATGGATGAGAGGTGGGGGATGATAATATGGATACAATGGTGCTTAGTGGATGATGGACAGATGTTAGATGTTGGATAGACAGACATTGCTTGGATGACAGATGGGTTGATGGTGATGGACAAATGGATGGATTAATGTTGGGTGGAGTATGGATGGGTGGAAGTTGAAGGCTGGGTGGATGGAAGATAGCTGAGTGGATGTTGGATGGATGGAGGAAGGACACAAGGATGCGAGACGGATGGATGAATGGTGACAGATGATGTTGGATACATGGTGGATGGATGAATGCAGGATGGATACTGACTGGTTGGATGGATGCATGGATGTACTGAAACCCAGATGTTAGGTGAATGTTGGCTGGATGAATGAGAATTAGATGGGCCAATCTGGGCTAAGCTGTTCTTTCTCATCTCCAGTTCCAACCAGAGGAGCCTGAGGACTCAGAACCAAGCAGAGGCCAAGACTCACTGACTGACCAGAAGCAGGCAGACTCGGTAGCTGGGTCATGGGCATGGGCATGTGGGGAGGGGAAGGGAAAGGAATGAGGTTGGAGGTGGACTGAGTTCCTCAGACAAGCTTTGGGCTCATCCAGACCAAGGTTGGCTCTGCTATGGGGCCATCTGTGTGCAAGGTGGGGCCTTGGGATGAGGAGCTGGGTACCGGTCCTACCTTCTGGTTTGAAGGCTGGGTGGTTAGGTGATCCTTAGGGGAAGAATCTCAGGGCTCTGCTTCTAATCTGCTGAGCTATCCTGAGAAAGTCACTGTCCTTCCCTGGGCCTCAATTCCTGGCTACCAAATGACAGTGTGGCCCAGCTGGTCTCTAAGGCATAGTCTTGGACTGTGATTCTGGACAGCTAAGCCAGGCCAGGAAGAAGGGTAGGACTTCTAGAAGCTGAAGCAGAAAAGCATCTAAAAGTGCTGAGGAGGTGCCAGGCCTGGAGCTGTGTGCAGGGGGTGGGACCCGCTGAGGCTGCTCCGAGGCTTGGCTACAGCTGGGCCATACTGGCCCTGCCCTACCCGATCCGCGACCTGCCAAACAGACTGTTCTCATCACTCTCGGCCTCCAGGGAGGTGAGGTCAGAACTTAGGGCCATGGGCCATGGGAGGCAGGGGAGACCCAAACCGGCTGTTTGGGGCTGTTTTCCTTGTCCTGCTGGACCCCTCACCACCTCATGAAGCCAGATGTGATGTGAACAGAGCATCTGTCAGGTGGCCTGGCGCCGTAGCCCTGTCTAACCCTGAGACAGAGGTGTGCAGAGAGGAAAGGGGGTGGGGGGACAGGAACTGCCCCTGGTCACACACCCAGGCCTCGAGACTCCAGCCAGCACGCTCTCCCCACCACCCTGCTTCCTGGCTCTGCCCTGCCCCTTGCTCCGTGGGTCGGCCTTCCCATCTGTGAAATGGGGAAGGGATGGGGGACTCCCATCATTAAAGCAGCTTCGCCCTCACAGGGCCTCTGACCACTTTGATCTTCCTCTTTCTGGGTTATTTCTTCATACTTCCTGGAGCCAGAGTTTGGTGAACAAAAAGGAAATAGCAATACAGGGGTCCCCCTCTGTTCTCCACAGAAATGGGGCCGTACACAACGACACAGCAGACCTCTCAATCCTCCCCCCGACAGGCGGCCTCGATGGACGGAACTGATAACTGCCCCATTCATTCACACACGTGCACTTTAGTGTACGGCTTTGGTGTGTCTGGCTGTGGGTCAGAGGCGAGTTGAGTACTGCCATGGAGCCCAGTCTAGGGGGACACCTACATGCCATGTAGTCAGGGCTGTGATGGGGGATGAGGTGGCAGGGTGGGGCCACGCCTTGCCCCAAAGCGCTCCCTACGCTGTGCTGGATGCTTCAAGTTTTGCCATCAGATAATGTCCAGATGCCTTTCTGTCTTTGCTCTGTCTGCTGTGACTTTGGGTAATCCTTCTGCTTCGCTGGGGCCTCATTTTCCCCAAGGATGCCTCCAAGAAGGGGTGCTTTTGGGGGCTCTGCCAGGGGTAGCTCTAGGAATCTGTGGTTTATCCCTTTATCTTAAGCAGGGGTCACAAACCCATTGACCTCAAGGACAGGCAGGCAGGGGAGGTGAGAGGAGTGGGCAGATGAGAAAGTCTAAACTAGGGGGTGCCTGTTGGACCCCTTGCCTTCCATGGGGCAGATGGGCCCAGAGTTTCCACACCTTCAGATATTTCCAGAGAAACTGGAAATACGTATTTGTATATCAAATCTCTTGATTGTTTAACATTCCAACCTAGTTCAGGATCATTTGAAAACCCCATGTGGGCTGAGCACACACCACTCTGGTCCACACCCCCCATCCCTTTGCAACCTGTGTTTGGACTCTGGGGTGGTGACAGTGCACAGCCCCAAGGGGCTCAGCCTCAGGAGCCCTGTCAATCAAGCCAGTGTCGCCTAGGGGAGTTAACAAGCTCTTTTCTTGGCAGCTGGTGAGGAGAAAGCCTGGGCTTTTACAACAGGCAAGGCAGAGTGGGTAGGGGAGGCTACAGCCAGGGACCCCACCATCCCACCAAAGGGGCCTGGGGGCCAACACTGGACCCTGTTTGACAGGTAGACAAGAGGCCAGCAGAGGGCAAGGCTGGGAGCCCACTCAAGGGCCGACTGGTGACCTCATGGCGGATGCCCGGGGACCGGCCCACGCTGTTCAATCCGTTCCTGCTATCTCTGGGGGTCCTCAGGTGGCAAAGGGTAGGCTGGCCCCAGGGGGGACGTGAGGGTTGTGGAGGGGAGAAAGGGTGAGGGGAGGGCGGAGAGTGGCATTAGGCAGAGAAGGGGGACTGAGGGGCTGAGAAGGAGGGATCTGGGGATCTCACCGGAAAGGAAGACGGGAGCCGAACTCCTAAGCTCCCCAAGGGTCCTGCAAGAGAGGGTATTCCCACCTCCACAGCAGGGCTGGGGACTGTTTTCAGCTCTGGGGTGAGTGGGGGATGGAATAACCCTCACAGCTGAAAGTTCCCAATGATTGAATGACTTCTCACCAGTCCCTGGGCCCAGAGGGGGATGAGGGGGGAAGGGAGGGAGGAGCTGTGAGGGGCTCTGGGCTTACAAAGTGTGTCTCAGACCTGGGCCCGGGCCAGTTTCATAAACATCTGGCGTTACGTAACCATGGCCTGCCCAAGAGTGCAGTAAACACTTGGGCCCCTGGTCCAGGGTTTCCTCAAGGGTAGGGAGGGGAGGCAGCTGTGACTCACCCCCTATACCCCCTTCACAGAGGGAGAGGAGGGGCCCAGCCATCTCCAAGGGCCACAGGTTGGCTTGAGGGGTCTCTTCTGTTAGTGAGTAGTGAACTCACTATGGTTGGGTCCATAGCACTAGGCTGGAGCCTTAGAAACAACATACCCATTTTACAGACAGACGGGGCTGAGGCTGAGGGAGGTGAGACGACTTGCCCAAGGTCACAAAGCTGGGGTGTAGAGCAGCCTGCCCGCTGCCACAAAGTGAATGACAGGAGGGCTTCCAAACAGAGGCCCCTCCAAACCTGAACATGACCACCTGCCTCATAATTTCCTCTGTGGCTCGCTGGAGGTTAAGGCACCAAGGGTGATCAGGCAAACATGGTTATCTGGGCAGGGTGGGGCTGTCAAGTTATGGTGGCATTACCTTATTAGACTAACTAAAGGTCACCAACATGTAGCAGGTCTGGCAGGAGGGGGCAGGTAAGGCCCTGGGTGGAGGGAGTAGGGAGAGAATTAGGGAAAATGACCCAGGATAATGACAGTGGGGTCAGTAACCAGCATTTTACTGAGCACCTACTGTGTGCCCATAGAGCCCTGGGGGTGCCATAGTTCAAGTCCCAGTCCCTTGGACTAGGACTTGAAGCATGAAGAGGCATTTTCAAGGCAAATAAATATTTGTAGGGACAGGAAATGAGAGAGAAAGAAGGAGAATGTGTATATGTGTGGTGGGGTGCAGAGGACAGGAAGGGACATGTTCCAGACAGGGCAGAGAGCAGCATGTGCAGACGGAGAGGTACAGGAGGACCTGGCTTATTCGGGACTTTCCAGTTATCCAGCATGGTCCATCCCCAGCCTGTAATACGTGTGTGTGCATGATGATGGAGGAGAGTTAGCCAGGGGGCCACATTATAACCAACAAGAACTGGCAGCTGAAAGATTAGCACTGGCGAACTGTTGAAGAACGTTGATCAGGTGCATGGTCTGGTCACTGGTAGAGGGTGCTAGAAGGGGAGTCCCAGGGACTGAAAATGGGTGAGGAGGCTGGTGCTCTCAGGAGCCCCGGCCACCAGGGCACGTGGCTATGGCTGGCGAGATTTTTCTATGAGTTTATTCACTTTCCCAAAGACCAGGTGTCTGAGTGAGGTGCAGGAGGGTAGGGGAAACTCAGCTTAAGATGCCAGAAAGCCATTGTTCAGAGGAAGATGGACTTAGCCTTGGTCTCATTACTTAGGGTAGAGGAGAGACTCCCAGTGGGAAGTGCAGGGATAGAACTTCAGCTCCCTGGGCCCCCATTTCTTTACCTGTAAAATGATGATTATAATTATAGCAAATGCTGGGAGTTCTGGTGGCATAGTGCCTAAGACATTTGATTGCAAACCAGAAGGCTGGTGGTTCAAATCCACCAGCCACTCCTCGGAAGGAAGATTGGGGAATCTACTTCCGTAGAGATACCGTCTTGGAAACCCAAGGAGGGGCTGCTATGAGTCGGGATGAACTCAACGACGGCAGTGAGTTTGTTTGCTTTTTGTGAGCAATACATTGTAAGCCCAAACTGAGATGACAGAATAACTGAAATGTCAATTATTCCTCTGGTCTCCCACTCAAGGACAGCTCACGAGGGATAAAGATGTATTTTACTTGAATTAACACTCCTTACAGCAACCCCATGAGTACTGTTGTTGTTGTTGTGTGCCATCGAGTTGACCTGACTCATAGCGACCCCTCCTTGGGTTGCCGAGGCAGTATCACTACGGAAGTAGATTGCCCAACTTTCCTTCCAAGGAGTGGCTGGTGGGTTTGAACCATCAGCCTTCTGGTTAGCAGTCAAGTGCCTTAGGCACTATGCTATCAGAGCTCCTCCATGGGTACTAGCATTACTCTATTTTACGGGGAAGTTGAAGCACAGAGTGGTTAAGTACCTTGTTTAAAGTTGTTGTTGTTATGTACCGTCGAGTCGGCCCCGACTCATAGCGAGCCCTCCTTGGGTTTCCGAGGCAGTATCACTACGGAAGTAGGATTGCCCAACCTTCCTTCTGAGGAGTG